TTCACTTTTGATATCCTAATCCGATGTCTATATTTATGACCACCGATTTCATTTATGCCAAAAGTTCCTTCTACCGCTGTATTCCCATTGCGTTCATCATTTAATAATTTTTTAACATAAACTTTTTACCTTCTATTGACATATTTACCCTTCACCAAGATACTTTAATCATCACTCCTAATACATTTAATATGATCTAGATTCTTATACTTTTTATTTTTGCTAATTTGAAGACATTTTTTATATTATCTTGTTCATAGTGTACTGTGTATATTATTATATGCTTTAAGTTTAGCATTACTATTTTTAAAGCATTTTTCATAGCATTTTTATATTCTTACTAAGTTTTGATCATTTCTATTACATTGTCAAGTTTTATAATATGATCGTTTTTCACTAATGGCATTCTGAACCTCATCACTCCACCACCAAATTTTCTTGTCGGAATTTGTTTTTCCTCTAGTTTCTCCTAAAAATATTTTTGCCACTTTCTTAATACAATTAGCCATCTCATTCCATATAATATTGACCTCATATTCAAAGTTTGACTTTCCTTCTTAACTAATTTATCTCTAAATAAGTCTAATTTCTCATCTTGTAAATTTCACCACCTAGTTCTTGGACACCTATTAATTTCACCCCTTCTTCCTCTCTCTTTATGCATATGTTTTTAACTATGAGCCTATATTGTGCAGTCAAATTCTCTCATGGGATACGTTCACAATATTTACATAATAGTAGATCTATGTTCTTAACTAGAAATAAGCTTATCTGGCTTTTATATGATCCACTTTTATAAGTTATTAAACGTTCATCTCGCTTTTGAAAATAAGTCTTTGTTCTTGCTAGGTCGTAGGCCATAGCAAAATAAATATGGTAACCAACAATCCAAATTAAAATTTGATTGGGCTTAAAGTGATTCAAGTGGATAAGATCCAATTTTGCTTTGAATTTAATTTCTTTACGAAGTTAAATTTAAACAAGAAACAATCCTAATTTGTCTTGATCCTTGCATGAGAAAATCAAAGAAAAAATTGTTACTGGACTCGCCGTCAGTCAAGCTAATGTGCAGTTCTGAAGTGTTTGGATCCAATTGATGCAGCTTTCTAATGGTGAATCCTTTTAACTTGAAAATTTTCATGGTGGTAGAGGATTCAAATACCAATTTAATGCTCCATGTTCACTGATATAGCCTATCGATATTCATTCATTTGCGCTGCAGATTTCGACACCAGATCTGACCATTGTAAGCTCAACCGATGTAGTTATTATGCCTTACATATAATTTTTCAAAAAAATTTAGATCAATCACCAAATATCATGGGTGAGCAGTGGTCAGGGTATCCTGATGATCAACATATTTGGATGATGTATCAAATGTTCCAATTTGTATGATTAAGGTCCAAAAGGCATATAAGGCATTTTTAGGAATATATGCAAAGTTTCAACCCATACTGATATGATTTGACGAGGTTTTACATGGTCGGCCATCAAACTCCTTTTTAACAAAGGATGGATTTAAAGACATATTACATAGCACTCAAACTTCTCTAATATCGTGGGAAGAGGCACACAAGGCTATGAAAACATAAGTTCAAGAGTTTAATCTCACATCAAACTTATTTGATAGTCTTTATGAAGAACCGGTTGTCAAGACCTATAGTTACCAGCTGCCACGGCTTTCAGGGCATATATTAGGGCTATTTGATAGTCTTTATGAAAGACCGGTTGTATGGTGATGATCTGTTAGGGCTTTCAGGGTAAATATTAGGGCCATTGGTGGATCTCTTCTCTCAGGGGTATCTTAAGGCTCTAGGGATACTCACATAGTCGAGGTGTCGTGGCCTTTCTTCTTGTACATAGCTCCGAATGAAGTAAAAGTAATGTCAACATTCGAAAAGGCGCGGTTTTTATAGATCCAAGGCTCTAAACAATTAAAATAAAACGCACCTTCAAATAGTGTGGAGAAAAGTAATTTCACTACTGAAATCTGTGTGATAGCCTTAAAATATATTTTCCTCTTTAATTATAAAATTTAAAGTTTCAAAAATAGTGTAGATCGAACAAATATACGAAAACTTGAAAATATTGAAAATTGATATTCCAAAAATCCATTTTTTTTCATTTAAAGCTATATGAACTTTTTCCTTCCAAAAAAGAAACAAAAAGTATTAGTGACGCTTATGGAGGAGTGGTATTCAAGTTGGCCTCGAAACTTGAATAGCCAAAAGATTGATTATATGCTCCAGTGTACATTCACTTCAGAACTGAACTTGGGAGTATTATTTAGGAGCTCAAATTTGCAGCCGTAACTCCCTCAAACTTATCGACCAATCTCAAAAGAATAACTAAAAATGATAAAGTAACATCTAAGATTAAATGGGCACTACCACTTTTTGAATTGTAGATCCAATTGGTTGAAGAACTCAAAATCTCTCTCTCGTTTTTTCCCGTCTTTCATTAAAAAAATATAAAGATAATAACATCAAAGTCAATCTCAAAATTTAAGATCAGGAAAATCCTCTTTAAGTAGGTTTTTTTCCGGAGGGTGCAAGTGTAGAATGTGATCCTGTGAGCGCCTATACATGGTTTCCAGAGAAATTCATATCCATATGAAAAAGCCATGACCTCCCGCTAAATCATAAAATTTGCAGACTCTATTTGAAGATTCTCAGGTAAGCCTCTGTCTTGGTATACTTATAGGACCCCAAATTTTGGAGATAGAACCTCCTTGACCTTGTGACCAACCTTAAAAAAATTAAAAAATAAAAAAGAACCTATTCATCATCATCAACCTAATTAGAGGATTTACTCTTCCTTCAAATTAAATAAATAATTCGAGTATTTTTTCAACTATTTAAAGTCGGCTACAATAAATCTTGGTATGCAATTTTACTCTATCGAGGGTCATACCCTCTATGAATCCTAATATCTTTTCTCATTACTTCCAACCACATCATTTTAATCCTCCCCATTATCTTTTTTTTAACCTTCCACTTGAATCAACTCACGCCTTCTAACAAGTGTTGTACTGAGTCTGCATTGCACATAAAACAGTCCACCTAAGTCTACTTTCTCTCATCTTGTTGTCTATTAGAGCCACACCTAAATTCTTCCGAATGTATTTATTTCGAATTTTTTCATTTCTTGTCTTGCCACTTATCGTCTCAACATCCTCATCTCAGCTACATTCATCCTATGGCTATGTCGTTTTTTAACCATCCAACATTCCGCCTCGTAAAATAAAGGCCTTGCGCCCCAAGGACTCAAGTGTATAATGTGATCCCAACAACATCACGCTACATGCACTATTGAGGAGTATGGAGATAGTAGTAGTGTCGATTGCCTCGTTCCACTTAGAAGAAATCAATCAATATTACCAATTTCACTATGGAAAATATTGGAGAAGAGTGAAAATAGTCGAGATAAATTTATTTGAATAACCTATGAGATGAACTACATAACATTTAATTCATATCTTTTAATTTAATTTTAAAAATCCCATTAAAATACACGTTTCGTGGAGCATGGATAATTAAAGATAGGTAAAATGTCAAACAGTTGACAGTTGGGAGTATTTTGATAAATTTCTCAATATTTAAAAATAAGTGTAGTTTGCATACAGTTGCAACCTTAAACAATTGAGTTAAGCCGCACCTCCAACTTTTATCATAAGATATAATTTTAGTGTAAGAAATACATAATGGCTTGAAAATCCATTTTCATCTCTAATTATAAATTTTAAACACTAAAAATGAATCTATATACACATCAAAATCTTGAAAATGGACGGTCCAAATCAAGTGTGGTAAGATGCATTATTTATGGGATTCAATTTTTTTTTTTTTTCTTTTTTCATATTCGAAAATCTCAATGTCAAGATGATCAATTAGACGGTTTTTCAACATCACATCAACATTTTCCAATGTATTTTTTATGTACACTTTAATTCTATATTTTAAGGTTGCAACCTTACATAAACTTTTACAAGTTTTAACTTGTGAAAAATCCCCTAGGAAGAGGTCTGACGCTATGGGCCTGGATCCTATAGACCCCCTGCTAGTATCAGAGTTTTCAGTTTGGAAAAGGAATATCCTTGCAAAATTGCAGACATTCCCTGAACATAGAGTTGCTGTTATTACAAATGCCAAATCCAGAATTCACTTGCAGTAGATGTGAACGATGAAATCATAGAATTAGTGAAGCTCATGCAAAGGTGGTTCTTGTACAACTGGTGGGAATCATAGGTGGTAAAAGCATGGGATTAGTAGATTGAAAGGGAAAATATATGAAAAGAAAAGATGTAAAAGCATTAGATAGTCAAACGAGAAAGGCGTGTCTTCATAAAAGCATTAGATTTTGCTTACTACAATGGTTACAGATGGGATTTGAATCCAAGCCATGGATTGCAAAATTAGGCATCATAACTGCTGAGACAATGCGTTTGTCATGCCTTAACTTTTGCCAGAAAGTGTTTCCAATTTTTATAATTTCTGTATCATTTAGAATTTCAGAACAATGCAGAACTCGATGTGCCACCAGTAAAGGCATTTCTGGTAACACAGGATGTAGGGCTAATTCAATCTATCAAAAAACCTAAGCACACCCTAAATTATATATTTTCAAGAAAATTCTTAGTTGCATTGAATAAAGTCCACTGAGGCTTCTTTTTACCACTATCTGAATTCATGATCAAAGCTTCCCATACTTTGATTGGGACCAAAAGTTTTTAAGCATAGTTAGTGAACTTTTCTTCTTTTTTTCGTATATTTTCACCGGGGACTGTTTGATGGGAAGATTAGAGATCTGCAATTTGTACTTTTTTTTAGTTAATAATGGTCAGAGATGGACAACTTGACGTGTTAAATGGTTCAAATTTAGTAACATGGAAAGGCTAAAGGCCATATAATGTCCATGGCATTGAGAAGATACGCTGAATATGTGACATGAAACTAATGCATAGTGGCAGCAAATGGTCCATATGTCAAAACATTTACTGGTGCAACAGAATAGAGCTATAGCTATTTATTGCCTTGAAATACATAATGCTGATACAAACATTGGCTTGAACACAGAGCACTCTAAATTTCCCTTCAAAAAATGGTCTGAATTATTAAATTAATATTTGATATAAGAAAATAACAGATGAAAACGAAAAAGTTTTCTATATCATAAGTCAAGGAAATAATTAGATATTGAAGTGCGGATTTATATAGCTCCCTGATGCCTTTGAAAGTACGAGTGATACCTGACCCCATAGAGATAAAAGGGTGTCTGCATTTCAATCAACCGGGATACCTGCAATATACACAAATTAGATAACCTCTAAACTATTTCTACAAATTATAAAGCAGATTATGCAACCTTTCAACAATAGCTAGACAATCTAAAGCATATTTGGATACCAAAAATGAGGTGCTCTTCAATAGATGACACAAATGTGTCTGCTTCTTTCAATAATTTTAACAATTCCCTTGAAGTATCAGACTGAAGAAAGCCGATTAAAAAAAAAAAGAACTCGATAAAAAGTAGGCCTCAGTCAATATCTTAATGATCATCTTGTTAGAGTGTCAATAAAATAACTTGGAGGAAAGAGCCCTGTAAAATGGCAAAGGTAATCATTTCCTCTTTCTAATGGCAGTGCCAAAGCGAACATTTGCATGTGAGTGGGTGCGTCCAAACTGTAATGCATGCTTTTGGGCCAGTTTGGAAGTCAAATAAAAAGAAATTATTATCCAATAAAAATACAGTTTTTCAAATACCAATTGCAAAAAATACCAAGCCTTTTTTCTTTTCTTATAAAGCCATTTGGGTAGTAAAGTCTATTTTTCTCTCTACGATTCTCTCCCTCAACAAGAAGGGGATAACTACGCAATTAACACTCTCTCTCTCTGGTATCTTTTGCCTTTGTATGACGAGATTGAACATATTTGCAGGGATACGCCCATCTCATGGACGCATACATCAAGGACGTCAAACGCCTTCGCGGATCTCCTGGAGAAGGACGGAGCCAACGCTCATGAAGAAGACTAGGCTTGCTACACCTTTTTGCAGCTTGTGGGCTTTGTAATTTGATAGTGGACTTTGTCAGGGGAGAAAACTATAACCCCATTTTTGTATACTTGTAAAGGGGCGTTCTTATAACCCCATTTTGTATAGGGCCGGAGGGCCTATTCTTTTTTGCAGAGAGTCCCGTCTACCAGGGGACTCTCGCACTAGCTCTGCACTGTAACTCTCTCCTTTTCAATAATACATTCGTTAACATTTCAAAAACAAAAAAAAAACACTCTCTCACCTTGCTGCATGTTTCTCCCTCTAACCTTGATGCAACTACAAATCCACGAGCAGAAGAATGGAGCAAACCGTAATGGTGAATTAAAAATCTCCTTGCTTTCCTCTTCTCTTCTCCCTTTTAACAAGAGACTCAAGCTAGCAAACCCTAATGGTGAATTAAAGATCTTCTTGCTTCTTTCTTCTCTTCTCCTCTTTAATAAGAGACCCATGCTCCTGTTATTGTTCTTCTTCTTCTCTCATCTTCTCTGTCTTATTTGAGCTTCTTCTTTTACCTCTGTTTTGCAGGTATGATGAGAGTCTGGTTTTAAAAAAGAGAGAGAGAAAGAGGGAAGGAGCTTGGTCATTCTCTAGAGAGACAAACATGTTTTAGTCCAACCTGCTGTGGAACTTTGTGAGCAAACAGAAACTCGAGTGGCTGTCCCCTTCATAATTTCTTTGTGACAATTGATTTTCCTTTGAAGATTTCGGGTTGAAGTAGTTTAGATTTGGGGTTTATGACGTAGAGAGAGTAGGTTTGGGGTTTATGAGGTATAGAGAGAGAGAGTAGATTTGGGGTTTATGAGGTAGAGAGAGAGAGTAGATTTGGGGTTTATGAAGTAGAGAGAGTAGATTTGGGGTTTTTGAGGTAGAGAAAGAGAGAGAGAGAGAGAGAGAGAGTAGTAGTTTGGGGTTTTGTAGGTTTCGACGGTGGTGGGTTGTTGGGTCACGAAGGGTGGGGTCTTGCATGAGGCTGAGAGACGCCGCTACTTCCAAATAAAAACAATATACTACGTACGTACGTTACGTTACGTTTTACGTTTTACGTTTTTACGTTT